GTGATGCCATATGAAGATTCAAACCTTTGTACTCTATTTGTACTGTATAAAAGAGCTTAACTAGCTTCTCTCCTCCATTCCTCTTATTATGTGACTTGGAAGAGGACTATAGTTCTGTAATGTGGTTTTCATTCTATCATTGTGTTAAGTTTTGCATTGTCCGTTTGTTTTATAGGATCCACCTATGACATAAATGGTATATGACTATTGACGAAGGGGATGAGGTATTATTATTAATTCTCTAAAGACTGTACTGGGTTATTGGAGATGGGGGAGATAGGGAAGGTAAAATGAGATTCAGAGTTTGAGACAGTGAAATCTCTGGCTTTTTCTAAATTTTGGGGGAGATGATGGTGTTTGGAAGTCAATTAAAGTGAATTAAAGGGCTGGTGTGAGTTGAGTTATGAACAGTCTCCTACTTCAAAATAAAGATTCCATTAAGCCTTCTTTTCTAGGATACCATAAAATATGTGTGCATCATAAAATGTATGATACCCTTATGGTCTAGAGTATCATAAAATCAAAGTTACCATGTGTAGCTAATTAAATTAAAATTTAATTTTAGGCATTTTTCTCCTTAGGAATGAATGAGAAAATTGTCCCTGAGAAGATCCTCAAGCCCAGAACCCATGACAGAGCTCAGATTCATACTCTTATAAGCTCCCTAGAGTATCATAAATTCATAGTTTCATATTTTTAAACAAAACTTCAGACATTTTCTTGTTTAAAGAAACTGTTCTCATGAAGTTTCTCAAGCCCAGAGACCAAAATGCTAGTTAATATTAGAGCTCAGATTTAAACTCAAGTCTTCTCCCGATTTTTTCGGTATAGTATTTTTCTATTACATCATGCTACCTCTGGCGGGGTGGGGAGGTAAGAAGAGATGGATTTTGGGAGGCTTTTTCCATTCTTGGAGATGGAGAATCCTCTCACATAGAAGAACTTACTCTGATCACTGGTTTTTTTTCCCTCTTTCTTTAGGAAGTGGTATTGGCTGCTCTCATCTGCAGTGACAAGATTTAGGAAAGGGTAGGCATTTCCTGGGAGATAATATCAGTCTCTATACTGATATTTTCCAGTATACCCTCTGCATCCAGAAAATTGTCTACAAGATGAGTCGTTTCTATTCCCTCTGACTTACACTGTTGTCAGAAAAAAAAGTCACGGGTTATATATTAAAAGTAATATCACATTGAAGAATAGCTGCAGGACCTCATTTTTATTCTCCCTTCATTTCATAAAGGATTCAAACATACCTTTAAGGAGGATTCTCACATAAGCTTACACATTGAATTCTCCCACACACTGAATGAAGTGTTTAATGGGTTGCTTTCCACAGGCATTTAGGGGAAAGGAACATATTGATATTGATGTGAGATCGCATTTGACTCTCAAAGATTTTGTATTGCATTAAAAATATTATTATTGGAGTGAGAGGCATTAATGTGTTACATACATATTGAGATGGCAAGATAGCTGTTCTTGGAGTGAAGAAAATCTGGAAAGTCCTGAACCAAGCCTAATTGTTTGAATCCTTCAGGTTACTTAACAGCATACCCCAGGCAACTCTCTAAGGCTATGGTGTTGGAGCTGAATGCAAACTGCCTGGATATTAGTAGAGGCAGTTTACTAATAGGAGCTTTCTACAATAAACAATTCACAAGGAGAAGGAGGAGGAAAAAGAAGAAGGAAGAAAAAAAGTACTACTAGTAGTAATAGTAGTAGTAGTAGTAGTAGTAGCAGCAGCAGTAGTAGCAGTAGTAGTAGTAGTAGTAGTAGTAGTAGTAGTAGTAGTAGTAGTAGTAGTATTGAAGAAATATTATTGGGAGGCACTGGTATCAGACTGTGAGAATAAGGAAGAAGGGAAAATTGTGAAATAAGATTCAAAGGAGACAATAAACACAGCCAAATTCTAGAATCTGAATTCCAGCCATAAATGTGGAATTAAGTAGAACACAAACAGTGCTGAATAGATGCTCAGATAAGATGCTCTATACAACTCTTTGATACAAATTAGGATTGAGGGAGGGGAGTTCTATCTCAAGACCCTCAGCTGTGGGGGCAGCTAGGTTGTGCAGTGGATAGAGCATTGACCCTTGAGTCAGGAGGACCTGAGTTCAAATCCGGTCTCAGACCAGACACATAATACTCACTAGCTGTGTGATCCTGGGCAAATCACTTAACCCGAATTGCCTTGCAAAAAAAAAAAAAAGACCCTCAGCTGTTTACAAGATTGTCTTCAGTCCCTTATAAGATGAATGACAAATGCCACTTTATATTTATATATGTATTTCCTTACATCAATACTGTCAAACAATAACAAATTGTAAAAGTCATTCTGTTCGTGTATGTGGACCACTTTGCAGAAAAAAAATTTGTTTCAAGGCCATCTCACTGCATCTTGTGCAATGTCAGTTGTCAGTAGGATGAGACAGCTGGAGTATTACTGTAGTAACCTTTCCATTGATCTGTCTCCCTGCACCCGATATCACTTTCCCCTCTCCATACATTCCCCACATACAGTTCCCTAAAACACAGGTTTGATCATGTTTCATCTCGCAGAGAAGTCTCTATGACTTCTGTCTGAAAAAAAGGAAAAAAAAGCTTCAGTGGATGTCTGATCCTCTTAGCCTCTAGAATAAAATAATAAAGACTGTTGCACATTTGAAGCCATTTACAATTAGGATCCAAACTGCCTTTTCATCCTTCTATTATTCCCTCTATACCAAAACCATTCCCTGGCACATAGTGACATTCCACATTTTGTCTCTGTGTCTTTGCACAATGTCCAAAGATGCATGGAAAATTCTTGCTCCTCACCTTCACCTGTTGGAGGAAACTCCTAGGTTCCATCTTGTATTTACTTATATATGTATGTTGCTTCTTCCAAGTACAATATAAGTTCCAATAGAGTATGGAGATAGTTATCATTTTTGTCTCTGTCCAGTGTCTAGAGCCTGGCACAATAGTGGGTAATAGTAGGTGCTTTAAATTGAATTAATGTAAATAGTTTTCTTTCCTGCAGACTAGCAGAGGCAAGCAAAAGACTATAAAGGATGCCTTAGGAGTCCAAATAGCACTAGTATATTATTTCTTTCTTAGTTCGTCAAATAAATAATTTGATAAAAAGCATGCCACCCAAAATGCAATGGAGAGAGAAGCCTTGATAGGCATGAATAAGCTACAAAAACATTACCAACCAAGAACTGAGCAAGAGAGGCAGCATAAAGGATGTCAGAAAATATGATGGTAAAGCAAACGCTGGAGCAAATCAGATAACCAACAGCCAGCCCGCATGGTACACTGTTATCCTACACGACATTAAAGAAACCTTTGTATCCCCTGAGCTTAAAAGGCACAGTGCCTGATGCAGAGCACACACTTAATTCAATTCAATTCCATAAACATTAAGATCCAACTATGTGCAAGAGGCAGTGCTAAGCACTGAGGATATAAATAAGAAAACAGTCCTGTCCTCAAGGGCCTTACAATCTAATGGAGGACAAAAACACACAGAAATAGATGTCTATGTGAGGAGCACCAGAAAATATCCAATGCGGAAGTATGTTATTCTGTGGAGTTGAGACCAAACTGAATTGCTGAAGGAAAAAGTTACCATTAATTAATTAATAATATTTAACAAATGCATCTTTTTGTTGCTAAGAAAGGTCCTCAGAATGTTGACATAAGACAAACCCCCTTAAGGAGGATTGAGAGCAAGAGAGTGGATAAAAGTCACATAGAGGCATATGACGTGAATGAGGAAGCAATTTGCATAATTGGAAGGGAATACCCTCATGTGGAAATGTCAAAGTCAATAAAGTCTTGAAATCGTACAAAAAAAAAATCTTACTACAACCTTTTTTATTTCTTTCTCCCTTTATTTTACAATGAAATTCATTACTTATTTTCATTGAATGAGTCCTGTAGAAAACAAAACAAAACAAAGAACCACCCATTTGGCTGCAGCCTCTGGTCCATATTCATTCATATCTCATATTCAGTGAAAACTTCTTGTTGAAATTAACTATGCAATTAATATGCTTTAAAATATGTGTAATTAAGGAATATGAAAGATCAATTGGGATCATTAAAGGATTTTTATATGAGTTACGTGAAAGAATTAAATGTGTAGCCTTAATTTCTCTATAAGGATAAAATTTTACCAGCTGACTCTTCCTCTAAAGTTGTAAATAGACTGTCAATTATCCACTTGGTTCTGCTTCTTTGCATAGTTTCCTGCACTTTTCACATCACCTCCAAATTTTTTACTGTGGTCTCTATCAGTAAAAAATGTTTGGGAACACACTATTAGCATAGCATATTTATTAATATAAGAAGGGAGTTCAACTAAGAATATCTCTCCCATTTCTCACTGAGCTGCATTACTTTGGGACTTCTCTGACTTCTCCAGCCTGCACTGGGTACCTTGTGTTGTCTTCCCCCATTACATTGTAAATTCCTTGAGATCAGGCACTATCTTTCTATTTTCATATTTATATTGCCATTGCTTAGCACTGTGCCTGGCACATAATAGGTCCTTAATAGATGTTTATTGCCTGACTGACTGAAGTAGAAAGAATTGACCTGTCATCTCCTGAAAGAAACTCCAAAATGAAAACTCCCAGGAACATCATACCAACAGCTAAAGTTTCCATGTCAAAGAAAAAATAACACAAGCAGCCAGAAAGAAAGAAGTACTAAGTAAGGATCACATGTGATTTAAGCCACCATTATAAAGGAGCAGAGAACTTTGAATGAGACATGCCTTAAGGCAAAGGATATGGGCTTACAACCTAGAATGACTTACCCAGCAAAACTTAATATAATACCACAAGGTGAAAATAGATCTTTAATAAAATAGAGGACTTCCAAGCATTCCTAATGAAAAGATCCTAGCTACAGAGAAATTTTGAAACTCAAACACAAGAGTGGAGAAACATAAAAAGGTAAATATAAATGAATAGTGATAAAGGACTAAACAATGATAAACCACTTACATTCAAATATGGGGAGATGATACACGTGTCCCCTGTGAACACTATCATTATTAGGATTCATAAGAGGGTGTCCAATTAGACAAGGTCTGGGAGTGGTTCTGTTATGTCTTGATGATCTTAGGAAAAAACTAGAAAGAGAATGGGAGCAAGAATATATTGGGGTAGGGGGGAAGGTTAGGGGAAATTATCTCATAATTTTAACAACAACAACGGCTAAACAAGAGGTTAAATGTTATGTCCAGAGTCACACAGCTAGAAAGTATCTGAGGTAGGATTTGAACTCAGGTGTTTTTTACCCCAGATTCAGCACTCTATTCACTATTACCACCTAGCTGCTTGGATCTTCAAGCATTTATTAAATAGGGGGAAATTCTTTTTTTGGGGGAGAGGGGTGTATGTATTGAACTAGATAATCCTTTCCACCTTTGAGATTTTGTGATTCAATTCAATTTGACTCAATTGAATGACGATGTTTAAAGAATCTATGATGAACAATACAAAGTGCTAGTGCTAGTGATATAAAGATGAAAATGACACAATTTTAGCCCTCAAATGGCTTAAAATACGATGGAAAAGGCAAATGAATAGAGGCAGTTTGGACAACAAACCAAGAAAAAATATGGACTAAACAATGATAAACCTTTTACATTCAAATGGGGAGATGATCCATGTGGGGAGGCTGGAAAGGCATGAAGCCAAGAAGCTAGGCAACAATCCACTGATTTTTCTCTAGAGAGCTGGGTGATGAGGTAAGACTTCTGTGTGAAATCCTAGCCTTTTAAAGGAGTGCCTCAAGGCTTTTGAAACAGCCCCACCCTTGCCTTAAATGGGCCCAGCTTCCCAAGAGAGCTAGTCATTACTGAGAGCTGTATCTTCACCTTCCTTATAATACTCTGAGTCAAATGTGTGAGACAATGCTATATCCTCTACACAGACAGGAAGCTCTGATGGGGGCCTGCAGATGCTGTCTTTTCCAAGTCCTCAGGTCATAGATCTGGCGAGTCTCAGTCTAGAGATCACTGGACAGTGATGAGTACCTCCCAAGATACTGAAAGAATTGTAACTGTGATCCTAGGAATCACTATTGGAAATCCTTGACAAATCATAGAGAATGAGAGGTACCAAGGGCAACACAAAAATACCTGACAATAGAAATCTCATGGAGGTAAGACATTTCTAGAGGGTGAGAGAAATTACAGAAGCATAACATCTTGGTGTTACAAGAGACTTTGAAATAAAATTATCCAGCCTCTACATTTGTCATATGAGAAAACTGTGGCCCCAGAAAGGCTAAATTTCTGGCCCATAGTGATACAGCTACTTCTTAAACAGGTTGAGATGAGACAAGAACCAAGATGCCTGAAGTATTTGTAGGATTCCCAAGCATAGAATTCTTTCATTCATATTATATTGTCTCTGGTATTACCCTCTGAATGATACCCACCATGACAGAGCCTCTGGTTTGTAAAAATATCCATGAAACCACTTCTAATTAAGCAAATGAATAATTGCTTTGACTTTATCCATTTCACTTCCCACACGTAGCTTTGGGCACTGTTTGAGGTACATTTGGAATGTCTGATCTGTTGCTCAGGACAACAGCAGTGATGTTGATAATGGGTGTGGTGATGAGACAGAGAAGGGAAAGGTGAGTGTCATAAACAGAAAGGTATAAATAACTTTATTACTTCTTAAAAAAGGAAAAGGTGGGGATAACCTGCCTCTGTCATGCTCTGTTTTGAGGAAGAAGGAAATACCTCCAAGCCTTAGAATTCCCAGCTCAGGCTCAGAGTCTGATCCCACTGAATACTCCTTTCCAAGATCATCCACATCTATTCAATACCACTAGGGAACAGGAGTGGAAAGAAAACTGGACTCCATGTTTTCCTATACTCCCCAGCTTCATCACTAGGATAGATAAATATCCTGGCATAATCATGAAGTATATTTTTCTTTTTGTTCTCTTTGCTGGTGAGTGTCCATGGGTTTCTAACCTTTCATTGTTGTTTAAGTTGTTTCAGTAGCATCTGACTCTTTATGACCTCGTTTGGGGGTTTTATTATCAAAGATACTACAGTGGTTTGCCATTTCCTTCTCTGGCTCATTTTACAGATGAAGAAACTGAGGCAGAGTTAAATGATTTGCCCAGGGTCACACAGCTAGTAAGTATCTGAGGCCAGATTTGAACTCAAAGATTCCAAGACTAGTGCTCTACCCACTGTGCCACTTAGCTTCCTTTACGTTACAGGAAAATCTGGGTTGTTTTTGTTTGGGAGGGATTAGAGGTGGGTGATATAAGGAGAGTATGGAGAACAATTATGGGGAGCAGATGTATGCTTCCTACTCTTTGACTCTCCCCCACCTTAGAGAAGTGTCAGCTCATCTTCATGTTCCCAAGCCAAGGATGAGCAAATAGTATAAGAGTTTAGGATCATCGATTCAGAGTTGGAGGGATCTTAGAGGTCTTTGAGTACAATTTTTTTCCCTATCCTACTCAGGTTATTAGAAAGCACAGACCCCATTACTCTTTAGGGGATCCTATTTTAATAACAGTAGACTAAAATTCAGAACATTTGTCCCATCTATAACCATAGAAGCTGAAAAGACTGTATTGAATTCTCTCCCTTCCCCCATCCTAGGTCCTCGCTTTGTGGTAGTGTCTGAGAATAAAGTTTGGTGTGGTAATGGGAATCAACCTCATTCTACCATTTCCATTATCTCCCTTGCTGCTTCTGTTTGATAGGTAGTAGAGTATGGAAGCAACAAAGTAGTGAGACCAGGACTAGTATCAACTGAGGCAACTGAGTGAGTACAAGAATGCTCTGTTTTTCTGATCCTATAACCTGGCTTCCTTCTCCATCTTTCCCCCTCAAGGTGAATTTTTCTTTGGTTATACTGATGAGCAGAATGATGATCCTGCACCCTACCTTGTATATATCAAAAATCAATTTAGCCCCTGTGTAGGTGTTCTGATCCATCAACAGTGGGTCCTGGCAGCTGCTCACTGCTACTTACCGTAAGTGAAAAAGGCTTCCATGCCCAAAATATAACTCCCTCTCAAACTGTATTTTCTGGAATTCTGTAGCTGCAAAACATTTTTTTTAAAGTTATCACATTTGCTTCCCCCAGGAAGAATAGTACCAGAATCAAAAGGAAGGGTTAGCTGTGTCTTATTAAACTTTCTGTAGACATCATAGAAGGAGAGAGAGGAAGGTGGGGAAAGCTTTGAGTTGCTGAGCAAAAAAAAAAAAAAGGTTTAATAAACATAAAGAAGGTTAAGATGGGAGGTAATAAGAATTGAGGAGGTCATGGAACTTTTAAGGTCAAGGCATGGGGACATATAGTCTCTGTGCTAAGAGACAGTGCTGTAGAAGAAATAAGGAAGATTTTTGATTTTTTAAATAAAAGGACTTTCTGGAACTTTAGAAGAATTGTGAGTTTAGAAAAGGAAGACAGCCTAAGCAGGGCCAAGTCAGAGAAGAACTGGCTAAAGCATGTCTTAAAAAAGCCTCAAATAAAGATGTGGTTATGAGTGGATTCATAAATTCATTCTCTCCTTACTCTCACTCTCTCCATCATCACTGCAGAAGCCTCAAAGTGAAGTTGGGAAATTTCAAGAAAAGAGTTAGAGATGGAACAGAGCAGACCATTAATTCTGTCCAAATCATTCGTTACTGGAATTTGAGCACAGATTCTTCTGAGCACAGCCTCATGCTAATCAAGCTATCCAAACCAGCAGTTGTCAACGAAAAGGTCCAGCCCGTTGCCCTGCCCACTAAAAACTTCCCTGCAGGCACAAAGTGTGTTATCTCTGGCTTAGACTGGAGCATAAAAAATAGTGGTGAGTACTCATATGATTGCATAAATTTTCATGAAGAAGACTAGGGAAATGAATGGATGAAAAAACAAATTGTTATGAGTTTACTAAGCTCTGGGCTTAAGAAAAGAAAAGTGATAATGATACTGACATCACTGAGCTCACCTTGTAATGGGGAGAAAACAGATACAAGAATTTTCAGCTTAGAGTTAAATGGAAAGGCCCCAGTGAGAAGGGGATCCTTAATGTGTAGAAGCAAAGTAGATGGTAATGCATTTTTTTAGTTTCATTTCCATTGATAAAAACCATATCTGTTAATCTATTTGAAGAATTTGGTGGTGAGAACTTTCTTTTCTGGGTCTTCAGTAACTCCAGCTGCTCAGGAGGCAGGGGTTCAAGAAGGAGGTTGCTAGGTAGCTTCTTTACAATTGCCTGTTGATGCTGTAGATGATGGTTCTCTGGAGCCAGGCTAGAAGCCAGGCCAGTGGTCTGGAGAGCACTGCTATCGCTTGGGCTCTGGGGTTCAGAGACTTGAGCTGGTAACCACCATCAGGGTCTGAAGGAAGGTGGAGACAGTGATTTGACTCACATGGCACTACTTTGTTTCTCCTCAGGATGGCTTGCTGCTGTTACTTAACTTCACTGAATTTAGACTATCTTTTTAACCAGTATACCCTGGACTTCTACAATTCTCTGTCTTTTCCTTTATGGTTTTGTTTTTAATTCTTTCTCTCTACTTTTGCTCATTCATCCTATGTTATCTTCCCTGTTTAAATCTAAAACTTCTCTCTCAAAATCCATATATTATTTTCTAACAATGCCAGCCCTTGACCCATTACCCCTGAGTACTAGTGTTAGTTCTTCATTACTATTTTGGCTTCATTTGCCTGTGGTGTCCTGCTAGAGGCACATGTTGGTATTTAGGGACATCACTAAGAATGGGGAGGGGAAGGGAAGAAGATGGGGTGACAATCCTTGGGATGGTGAAGGGACAGTCCCCACAGAGAAAAGGAGGAGGAAAACCAAATTAAAAATACATGAAAGCTTAAAATAAAGGACAGATTGGTTGGTGTTAGGGTTTTCTCCCCAGAAACAAAATCCAAGGGTTGAAATAGAAACAGGAAAAAAATTATAGAAGCTGAGAAGAGCGGGTCACCAAATTTCCAACTGCCTCCTTTCACCACCTGAATATCCCACAGACACCTCAAGTCCAATGTGTCCAAAACTCAATCTCATCAACTTTCTTTCCGAACCAGTTCCTCCTCCTAATCCTTCTATTCTGTTCATGGCAATATTTACTCTCCTAGTCACTCATGCTCCAAACCTTGATGTTAGCTTTGATTCCTTCTCGCTCATAGCTCCCTGTCAATCAGTTTTGTCTTATTGATTGGTTTTTTTTTCTGCTTTTAGGCAATTGGGGTTAAGTGACTTGCCCAGGGTCACACAGCTAGTAAGTGTCAAGTATTTGGTCTGAGGCTGGATTTGAACTCAGGTCCACCTGACTTCAGGGCCTGTGTTCTATCCACTGCGCCACCTAGCTGCCCCTCTTTTTTTTTCAATAATCTCCCAAACCTTGCCTCCTTCCCATCTTCAGGGACATAGTCCCAGTTCCGTCCCTCAACTAGTTTGCTTCTTAGCTGGACTTTGGTCATTATTTCTGAATTGGTTTTTGACTAGCCTCTACTCTCTCTCTCTCTCTCTCTCTCTCTCTCTCTCTCTCTCTCTCTGTCTCTCTCTCTCTCTCTCTCTCTCTCTCTCATTCTCTCTTTCTCTTTCTCTCAATCTCTCTCTCCCCTCCTCTCTCCTCCCTCTGTTTCTTAATCTCTCTCTCTCCATTCATTTGTCTCTCCTTTTGCCCCCACAAATCCTTGCCTGCACCACTGCAAAATGAATATGTGATCTCATCTTTACAGTTCAAAAATTGTCATTAGATTTCAAATAGTCAATCAATTAATAAACACGTATTAAGTGCCTACTATATGCCAATGACTGTGCTAAGCACTGAGAATACAAAAAGAGGCAAAAGATAGTTGCTGCCCTCCAGGAGCTCATAATCTAATAGAGGAGACAATATGAAAACAAATATGTACAAATAAGCTAGGATAGGATAAATAGGAAGGGATAGGAAATATAACTTTTGAGGGGTGGTGGGTGATGACTACCAAACATATAGTGGAAACAAGGGCCTGCTATGATCATTTATGTACAAGATCTTTGCTGTTCCATTTGAGTACAGTGTCTTGTACGTGTTAAGAAATCAATCCACAAATGCATTAACTGTCTGCCATGCTACAGGCCTATGCTCGGCATTGGTAATATAAATACAATGAATGAAACAACCCCCTGCTACAAATAGCTTACATTCTAATGGGGGAGGACAAGTATATATAAGAATATATAAAATAAATATAAAGAGAATAAATACAAGTAAAATGCAAATGATGAAAAAGGGGGTAGTTTGAGAGGAGGGAGGGCACTAAAAAAAACAGTTGAAAAGAATCATGTTAAGTTAGTTACTAGCAATAGGACATTTTCTCTGCCTCTTTCTCTCAGGCAAGCACCCTGACCTTCGGCAAACCTTCACGGCCCCTCTGCTATCAGACAAAGAGTGCCAGCAAACAAAACAAGGAAAAGTCAGCAAAAACAGGATATGTGTGAAATTCTTAAAGTCATTCGAGAGAATTTTTATGGTAACTTTTCTATTCTCAATTTATGAAGATCGCCTACCCCTCTAAAGATCTAACCTAGGCT